TCTAAGCAGAAGGTCATGTGCTCATTTAAGGTCATTGACCTTGTTTAACCTTTTGAAGGTCACGAGGACCAAAATCATACGAGACTGTTCCGAGTTTTGCATTTCAATAAGCGACAAAGATTACGCGGGACAGTATGTTTCTGAAAACAAAACGCTGAACTGGGTCACTTTATGCCGATGACCTATTCTGACCTCTAAGGGTCGGTGGAAGATGTATAATGCGGCTCCTGCTACCAATAAATTCGAAATGAGCACCAGAAACTATCCCATACGGTAAGCCCTATAGTAATAAAACAGGATGGTTTTGACCTTGGTCTGACCTTCATGCCTGACCTTAGGTCAACGCAATTTGCTCATTCAGTGTTTGTGTTGCCTAAGAAAGTATCTCAGAGATGTATAGCTTCGTCTAACATTCCGTTGTTGCACTAGCTTGAATGATTCCCCAGAAACTGACTTCGCCGAAACCACGGCCTGACTTTGACCTGCCATAGGTCAGCGACCTTACAAGGTACATCAAAATGTTTGACACCAAATGATCTGCTATTCAATTGTCTACAGCTACGCAAAATTTGGCGCGGCTATGCCCCGCCGTTCAGAAACCATTCTGGAAAAAACTTCAGGGGGGGCAATTTGACCCCCCCACCCGAGCGCGTGTTAACACAACATAACCATGGGAGGCGGCACGGTGACTGCCCGGTACAACTAGTGTGTTTCAAGAGGAGGGTTCACGATGTCCAAAAATGTGAAACGTAACATGTGGATGGGCATGATCAGTCTTGACCCTCATATGAGCTGCATTAAGAAAGTTGCCAGCAAAATACATCCCTTTCAGTGTTCGAACACACACCGAGTTGAAGTGAGTCCTGACACTGAGTTAGCACAACAACTATTTCTCTCTTGTGAGTTCCTCTGCTGAAACTTAGGACTTTCAATATATCAGAAGGCAAAGGACACATCAAAGTTTTGAGGTGTGATTGATATATATATATATATATATATATATATATATATATATATATGTGTGTGTGTGTGTGTGTGTGTATGTGTGCATATATAATGAAAACATCTGTTGTTTCCAATGGTGCTAAAGTAAAAGGGTCAGCAAAAAATAGATTAAAAAACCTTGAGTGCATCAAGGACACAAAATGTTTCAAATTAGATCCCAAGGTCTGCAGATACCAAGATGCCAGGATAAATCATCACTCAAGCTTCCATATCTGAACATCCCATACAGGGCACTATGGTAACTGCCAAAAGTTGCTTGAAACACAAATAGCCAAGCAAGTCTTGATGATATTTTGTAATTAAAATGCTCAGAATGTTCTGATCATGGTCATCAGTGAAATATTCTAGGTTTTATATCTGAGCACCAGATATCTACCCACACTATGCCAAATGTTGTTACCTCAATCACAGAGCACTATGTCAACAGGTGTTCACAATGATAACACAATCATTTTCCCAATAAATGATGAGCTTGATGGGCTTTTCACTTGTTTCAAACACTTTTGACCTTGTTTAACATTTCCAAAATGCATTCTAATGGAACTGCAACCTGCACAGACACTCCTTCAGCTCCCCCATTGTCAGCAATTACTTGCAATGCACAGCCATCCAAAGGTGGACTCCGCACCCAATCACACAATCCAATGCCAGGCTAGTTCACCTGTCTACCTACTGTGCTTGCCTAATGCAGGTGGTGCATTATTCTCACCATTAGTCTGACTAATGCATGAATGAGGGCACAGCAAGTGTGGGACAACAGGCTTTGAAAATCCTGTGTGTAGCAAAATTTGCCACATGCTATTGCTGTCCAATAAATCACATTCACTAACAATTGGTTGTACCCAATACTGTATGATAAAGTACACATGCCTATCTGCCTAGCATATATATATATGTTCAGTTCCATGTCGCCAACCAAATCTTATCATCCAAACGGCATGGGTCTGTTGTTCATTTTTCGACTCCATGGGCTCACAAACTTGTCAACTCCAATCTGAAACCTGCCTCCGTAAATTAACATCTGGCTCTGATGTCAATTTCACTTTATATTCCGACCGTTAAGGAAATAACCCAGTTGTTGTGCGAACAATAGCCGGGCCCACGTACGAAAAACAACATACCTGGCGTCTGCCGCGAGGCCTATCCCAGTGGTTCGGTCATTTACCGCCAAAAATAAACAAAACTTTTGTCGCTCCTGCGCGAGAATTGAAATACCATTCGGCTACCCGCAATAAAGATGCTGGATCATATCCGTGAAAGAATATTAAAATGATATGTCCGCGCGCGTGTCAGCTTTTTCTCCACTTGCTCTAGTTTTCTGGTGACGGTCGTCTGTTCGTCATTGAAATTAAAAAGCAACTCGCTGATGTTTGGCATCTACTGGTTGGCCTAATGTTTCGGAATTACTTATTCCAATTTCAAAGGTACACGCATACAACATACAAGCGACGAATATATGATTGCATGTTACAGTTAGGTGTGACCAACACGGTATAACAATTAGGTGTAATCAAGTTCAGTTCAATTCTTTACTTGTGCAGAGTCCAAGGCTATCTTACTGTACAGAGTCAAAATTCGAGGACTGGCATTTTCAAGAGCATACGATTCAAGCGGTAAAACAAGCGCTCAATAATAAGATATATCATCCACTGATGATATTGATCGTCCTTTAATAAGGTGAAAGGTGACTGAGGGGTACGTCCGTTTGTTTTCTTCCGGTGGCAATGTTTTGATCGCGACAGCCTCCGAAACATAAAACTTCCTCCTGTTTGATAATTATCTTATGATGGTGATGTTTCTGGTGGCGTCGTCTCGGGTGATGTTCCGGCCGCATTCTTTTCTCATCTGCTCTTTTGGAGCACCGTCAGCCAAGTGCATCGTCAACCGCATTGAACGTGTGGTGACCTTACCATTGATAAGTTGTCCATGATGAGACGACGACGACGGTCAACTTGACCCCCTCCCCTCTACTCGAGCGTAGGGTATCCAGACAGCCACTCGGGCGCGTAAGCCACGGACCGCGGCGCTGGGACACAGCGTTGGCCGCCCCCTGGCGGCCACGCTGTCCTCGGCTCCTGTCCGTTGACGGCTGCTCCGACATTGTCCACCGCGCTGGCCCGAGCCGCTCTCGGTGTCGTGGCCTGATCATCCTTACACCCTAATCCTGCACAGCGCGTCGGGTTACAAGAGATGTACATGTTTTTAATCAGCAGTTTTGAGGCATTAGAATCCCTACCCTCGCCCACATACACTTAAGGTTTTCCGTGGGACAACTTCCGAATGGTTTGGATATCGTAATACCATTTCAGGTTCAGGAGTTTACATCAACTTTACATGTGCTGTTCAAAGTTTAAATTTCTGACCTTGGTGGTTTTGAGATATGCTCCCTTTCTCCTGGTGAAGTCTGTGAGATTTTGCTTTAAATTTATTGACGTATTCAAAGAGGTTTTCTAGACTGCGAGGTTCCAGCCCCCGGATTGCTAAACTAATGGCGTCCAGCCGCCGGCCTTTGCAGTGCAAATAAAAAACAAGCTACGAAGAACGTGGACGAACATGGAAACAATGCGCAACAACATATCCTGCGTCTCATTTAGGCATTGATTCGACTCAGACCCCCTCCCCCATTCTTCCTACACTGTTGATGAAGGGAGAGGGGTGTGTGGGCGACACGCTATTTTCAGTTGTGGAGATTTGACATTTACGTCACGGAGCTGCATGGAAGAAGGTGAGTACCATGGAATCACTTTCGAGAGCGTTTCGTCGTCTACATCCTCCTTGGTCACATCATATATGATACTCGAGTTACACCGAACGGGTCTATTAAGCCAGAAATCCACACTGTACCGTGACAGCCGATCACATCGTCTACCGGATCAGAATCATCAGCGTGTTCTGCTGCATCAGCGTGTTCTGCCGCGCATAAAAAACGCATTAGCAGAAATACAAAACTACAGTGTAAAGTCAAATATCAAAGTTAAAACGCAACGAGCAGAACAAGCACAGGTACCGACCCGCCAGCTGCAGGCATATCAGGCAGCAGGCGAAGTCCCGCCCCCGAGAGCGTGCGGTTCGCCAGAGCTCGGCGCTGCTCCGACACCGGTCACGGTCCCTCGGGCGGTCACTGGACGGATCATGGCGGCGGCGGCAGGGCGGCGCGGCGCGCACCGACCACAGCCGGCGCAGACACCTCGGGCATCGCGGCACAGGACAAGACAGCCAGCACAGACACGCAGGGCGCTGCGGCACCGGTCAACACAAAGCAAAGGTGTGCAGGCCACCGACGGAATGGCAGCCAGTCTATTGGAAACAGCGCTCGCACGGATGAGAACCCAACCACAGCCATATAGACACTTGTGGCCTGGTCCAGCAGCGCCTGCATAGTTCGCCACTCAGATCAAAAAAGTTTGTGACAACGAAACAAGCACAGCACGTGAATAGACCATCTGTCATGCGGAGACCACTAGCATACATTTGTCATCCGGGCCCGCTACTGGCCTTTGTGCGCTTCGCTGCTGGTGAGCGTCTCCGCTGGATATTACTGCAGCTGAAAGGTGTGGCGGCGTATACTTATGGCAACTGGAATGAGACCGATGAGGAATCGTGCACATGGCAATAGACTCCACACACGTAGTCTTGCAGCCACCCGTTAAAACTAAGTTAGGTCGCGAAACTAAGTAAGTCAGACACACATGAGCCCATATCAACTTAAATAGAAGGCATTTTAACTCAACTACGCAACTTAACACGAATATACAAAGGCAAATCAGTAGCGCTTTGAAGGCCAACAGTACATATTCAACGGCAATTCAATTTAACGGCCTTAAATACCGGCGTGCGTTTCCTATACCGAACGTGAGGCAACGCGAATCGAACCAAATGCGTGTTCAGAAAACACTTGAAGGGCACTATAGTGCCGTTTGTGAGTAATCAAATGACCCGTGTTGGTTACGCTCATGGATCTAGCGTTTGACCGTGGTCCAAGGCTGATCACAATGCTACTGGTGCGAAGTGTTGTACGACGTACCGAGCTTGCTGCGGGCGTCCTCCGACGTACCGTGCTTTCTGCGGGCGTCATCCGACGTACCGAGCTCGCTGCGGGCGTCCTCCGACGTAACGAGTTTGCTGCGGGCGTCCTCCGACGTACCGCGCTTGCAGCGGGTGTACTCCGGCATGCCGCGTTTGCTGCGGGCGTCCTCCGACGTTTCGTTGTTTCTGTGACCGACGCTCAACATCGCCCGACACCACCAGGCTGTCGGCGTGGTGATCGGCTGACGTGCTGCGGCCGTCACGGGGCCGGGCCGTCACGGGACGCCGTGGGCCGGCCTCCGTCATGGTGTCTGCGTGTGCCGGCTGGTCAGCTGGCGTCCTGCCAGAGCTCGCCGCCGGCCCGGCGTGCCAGGCGCAGCTCCGGCAGGTTGGTGGGACGGCACACCGGCATGTGCTTCCAGGTCGGCCGCCACGTATCCGGCAGCTGCCAGTCGAACTCGGCCACGAACGCGCGGCACGCCTCCTGCCGACGGCCGCGCATGCACCTGTCACAAGGCGGGACAGACGGCGGCGGCGGCGCGCGCGCCACACCTCGACACCACGCCTGTTGCGCATGAGAGTGGCTGTGTGAGGGACGTCACGCTGGCTGAGAGGACCGCGCACGGAATGACGCCCGCCAAACGTCCCACCTGATACACATATGCATGTGAAGCATGAGTCCTTGTTCTGAAGATAATTGATGCGTGTTGTAACGGGTAGTACTCGTTGAACAGATATCCAGGGATCACTGAGAAACATTGTGAGAATATTTAACGTTTTACGACTGTGCTCGCGGAGACTCATAGCCATCGCCACCGCCTTGAAGCGGTGACTTCTCATCATACATCTAAATGATTGGCCATCTCCGCGCTTAACCCGTGCCTCATGGCATATTGAAGGTCGGCAGTTTTCAGCACAACTGATTATACCGATTTCTTTTTCTTATTCACTTAATGTCTTCCTCGCTTATATCAGTAAGCACGGGGAGTAAGGGGAACCTGGCAGCATGAAAATCTAGGAAACTTCAGCCGATATAAAGTCCGTTTGGTCCTGAACATGACAGCAGCCAACATCATCACACCACACTTCAAAATCGGTGGTCGCAGCGCAGGACTGCGTGCACGAGGTGAAAAGCGCATGCGAAGTGGGAGAGGGGCGCCGGAGCTTCGTGGCCAACTGGAGGCCTGTATTGGGCTGGCCAACGCTCATTTGAAATATGAAAGCCTCGAGTTTTGGCAAAATTACAACACGGTGCGGCAGAACCTGTGTGAAAGGCAACGTTCACAATACCGCACTTCACTGTCATGTAGCCATTTAGCTCGTAACATAATATCAACATTCTTCGCCTCCTTTGCCCTGACGTCGTTCCAAGCAAATAACGCCCCGAAATCAGAAATTTATAGCAGCCCGCCGTGAGCAGCAGCACTGTCCTGTATAACACTGTTGTGGGCTCACGTCAGCCAAGGACTCTGGCGTCGGCACGTGGCTTATATTACACCACTACTTACACTAGTCACACTTATGACGACCACCAGGTAAGGGCGCGCCGGCTTGAATTCTAGACTATGTTTCTTGTTCGAATATATATATATATATATATATATATATATATATATATATATATATATATTCGAACAAGAAACATGGTATAGAATTTAAGCCGGCGCGCCCTTACCTGGTGGTCGTCATAAGTGTGACTAGTGTAAGTAGTGGTGTAGTATAAGCCACGTGCCGACGCCAGAGGATTTACGAAGCGACGGCAGAAAAAGAAACGAAGCAGGAATGTGGTCCTATTGGACTCTTCTCGCAATGATTAGAGTTGCTTCTGTCCTATACAAGGATAGCCCAGAAAACAAGCGCTTAATCCGCAAGACCAAAAAATATATCTTGGAAGATAATTATTGACGAATCTGCTGTTATCCTTAACAATCAGTGCTCCTCTACAAATGGCTTCCGAAATGCACACTTCTACTTCCAACTTCTTCTTCTTGCATGCTTCTTTACTCCCGTATATCATGGGCGCATAATGACAACACGTATATATTTTAGAGCACGCTTCCACGAAAATTATTGAATGAACTAATCATGAAGTGGCAAAAGCATTCCATTGTCCGCTCCGGAGATATGGAAGGGAAGAAATGTCCCGGAGCTGGTGGGTATCTAAATAACAGAGCTGACAATTGTCTAGAACAATAGACGCTATACCTTCAGAATGTGCTGGTACATCTTCTCCCCAATGCAGTTTCGCGGTCCTCCGCCAAAGCAGAACAGCTTGTCTCTGTCATTCTTGTTACTGCAAGACATATCACAAGCAGCTTAATGACTCCACTTCATAAATTTTCGCAGGAATGACACGATAGAAGAAGTGAGCTGGAAATGATGTAAAAGTACGTGACCAACCGAAATGCAAAGCCAAACAAGTAGCCAAACACAGGTCTGCGTTAAATCATTGCTCCTATGCCAAATTCAAAGCAATTAAGCCCAATCACATGAAAGGCGTGTCAAAGGACCGGCCCCTAAACCTTGGCCTTCACGCAGCACCCGGTGACTGGCACTGGGAGAGGGCACAGTCGACCTTCAGAAGAGCTGCAGACCACCGACCTGGTCCTCCAACGTTCCGGGTCAAACGTGTCGGGCGCGGGGAACACGGCTGGGTCTCGGTGTGCCGCCGCCGTGCCGTAGACGACAGCCTGGCCGCGGCTCAGCCGGTACCCTGCGGACACGCCGGACGGTCTCAACCCACGCCGGTACACACACATGGTCACCCGCACACGCACGCACGCACGCACGCACGCACGCATTCACGCATCTCCGCCCGCGTGTCCGGTGATGGTGGGAAGGGAACAGAGAGAAAGAGTAGACTCTGTCTCGTCGGCTCCAGGGTGGCGGATGACGCAGTGGTCTGGACCAGAGCTGGGGTGGTGAGCACGGCACCCGGCTGCAGCGTCACAGTCACCGAGGCCGGCTGTCGGGAAGAACGCAGCCGACACTCGGCGGACAACAGAGGACAGAGGGCAGTGGTAGGGTGACGGCCCACCCGCCACCCGGGTACGACCCAACCGCAACTAGGGCTCGGCCCACCCGCCACTTGGGCTCGACCCACCTGCCACCAAGGTACGACCACCTGCCAATGGGGCTCGACCCACCTGCCCCTAGGGCCCGACTCACCCGCCAATAGGGCTCGACTCAGCTGCCCCTAGGGCTGGACCCACCTGCCACCTGGGCGTCGCGCCTGACGAGGCGCCGGCCGCCCAGGAACGGCGGCTGCAGCCGCTGCACCTCCAGCAGTACACAGTCCAGGTCCTCCTCGCTGATGTGGCCGTCCGCGCTGACGTAGCGCTGCCGGCCGAGGAACGGTCAAGCGGGACCCGACGACAGATGTCCAGACGGTACATGGGCCGTCCGGCAGCTCAGCGCGCCAAGAGAGGTTGCGCGGTACGGTGGTGAAGCGACTCGAGAGGGACACAGTGATGGTGATGGGCTCTGACCTGCTTCCAGAGGGGCGACAGGACCACGGCGGAGGTGAGCAGCGAGGCCAGCGCTTGGGGACCAGCGCTGACGAGCAGAGGCAGCAGGTGGTTCCGCCGCGTGTCCTGGTCTTTCCACCGCCAGCTTCAACGACTCGATAAACACTGTCAACAGCCCGCCGGCGCGTGACTGGCGAGCACGCGGAGCCGCTTGATCGATTCGACAGCATAGCATAGACAGCAGACGATCAGCCAACGAAAATAGAAGCACGCCAGACAGCTTCGGGCGACTCGAAAACCATTGCCTTGGCAGAGCACTGGTATGATGAGTTTGTCAAGCACATCAGAATAGGTGAGACATGGTGCAGTTCCAGCGAAATAGAAAGGCGTTCTTCGATAATTCTGAATATTGTACAACGATATGGCGAGCGGTGATTGGTGCGTTACAACGCGGGCACATGGCCGGTCTTCACCACCAAGCGGGAGCGCGGGGGCTTACTGTTGTTGTTTATTGGACGTTAACGGGCGCGCCGACTGCGTTGGTCATGTTGGGCCGCCCATACAGCAGAGTACAGGTGGCATGTGGACTGAAGGCACACTAAGGCAGTTTACACGACTTCGGAAACACTTCCTGCCAGCGATTGGAGCAACATAATAAAGCAGTGTATCAAATTGTTTTAACGGCTCGCTACAATACTGGCGAAACAGCGCGGCGTAATGGACTGACAGATTGACAATGCTCCATTGGACACTGCTCCCATGTGGTAAACCAAAGCAATCTATACTTGCTAAATATATCCGAGATACACCAGGCATTCGTGCAAGGGTAATTACAGGCGGTAGAGTAAAACGGCATCATAAAACGTGTGAGCAAAAACACTTTTCGGGGTGTGGTCAGTCGTCATCAAACGAGAGCTGTCCTCACTAGATTGAGGTTCAGCCTCCAGCATCTGAGCGTGCCAGCCCCAGAAGCTTCTCCTTGGCCTCCAGGGCTTGCGTGTAGGACTATGACGTCATCATTGGTACACGTCAGCACGACACAGGCAAACGAGTAGAGGGAGTCCTGCGGGAGGGACGCCCTGTCAAGGCAGGGACTGATGCACCACTGCGAGAAACAGCCGTGTCACACCAATCGCAAAAGCGTGTGCTACACTACGGAAAATGTCAAGAGGTTACCGCCAGTTTAGAGATAATGCGCACGAAGAACAATATTTGCGCTCCAATCCCTGGGTGCACAGTGCTTGTTATATTGTTGTTAATTGTGGTTTTTGGGGCGCCGCCGACTGCATAGGTCATATTGCGCCCATAACGTTGGTCATTAGTTACGAGGTGAATATATAGAGCGAAATCCTATTTTTGCAAGGGGTGCACAATGCCCTGCTCGAGCAAGTACGGTTCGATCTCGGGGTTAGAAGAAAAGGAGTTTGGAGTCCAAACAGAGGTTTAGGAGGGCAAATTATATATATATATATATATATAATATAATATATATATATATATGTACGTATCCCATCCTCTGGGTGCGGTTAGCTAAAATAAGGTGACAAATTTGTCTTAAAGTTTAACAGATGTGTCGATAGAAGATCATCTTAAAGCACTCCGTAGTGCCAATGTCACTGCAGGGAGAAAATACACTCAGGAAACGCCAAGTCAGCGCGCCTACGGACAGTGTCTGCTGAGCCAGTGGGGTCTACCGTTACTGTGCTAGCCGGTGGTGCCTGCCGTCACTTTGTCAGTGGGTGGTATCTGCTGTTGCTGGGCCAGTAGGTAGTGCCTGTCGTTCCTGTGCTAGGTGGTGGTGTCTGACATTACTCTGCTCGCGGCTGGTGCCTGTCGTTGCTGTGCTACCGGATGGTGTCTGCCATTGCTATGCTAGCGGGTGGTGCCTGTCGTTGCTATGCTAGCGGGTGGTGCCTGCCGTTGCTGTGCTACCGGGTGGTGTCTGCCATTGCTATGCTAGCGGGTGGTGTCTGCCGTTGCTGTGCTACCGGATGGTATCTGCCATTGCTATGCTAGCGGGTGGTGCCTGCCGTTGCTGTGCTAGCGGACGGTGTATGCCATTGCTATGCTAGCGGGTGGTGCCTGCCGTTGCTGTGCTAGCGGCTGGTGCCTGCCATTGCTGTGCTGGCGGGTGATGCCTGCCGTTGCTGTGCTAGCGGGTGGTGTCTGCCATTGCTGTGCTAGTGGGTGGTGTCTGCCGCTGCTGTGCTAGCGGGTGGTGTCTGCCGTTGCTGTGCTAGCGGGTGGTGTCTGTCTGCCGTTGCAACGTTAGTACGTGGTCTCTTCTCTTCACGTGGCATCAGACGGTGTTAGCCGTTACCTGGACGGTGTGTGGTGTCTACCGTAACTGCGCCAGTCGGTGGTGGCTACCACGAAGATGTCCAGTGTCTGCCGTCACCTTATACGTA